CACTGATAATAGCATCGCTTTCTTTGTCCTTATTTCTATTGTTCCTCAACGGCTTTTTATGGCTTTTTTTTTATTTTTTTATTATGGTATCATTTTAACCTTAATTAAAAAAAAAAAAAAAGTGCCATATTCTTGTATCTTCTTTACTTGATAGCTTCTGGCATTCAAAAAAAAAGGAGACTGGCCTGCCAGAAGCCAAAGAATCTGTAAAAGTCTCCAAATATGCAGGGGATAGCGGATGACAAATAAAAACAGTCATTTACTGCCAAAGGGGATAGACTTCTTTGGCTTTGGTTTTGCAAGTCTCTGTACCTACGCTTTTATTGCATTTGGTAACATATGTAGGGATTTAAAGCAAAATTAAGTGAATGAAAGGACTCCCAGAAGTTTTGGTGAGCTTTGAATGAGACTTTTTTCCTGCACAGATTGATCCCTGGGGACAGAAAATGCATTCATTTAGTGCTGTGCATTAAAGAACACAATATGAATACTATGCAACTGTGTAAAATACAGTTGCTATCACTTGACTTAAAATATCCTGAAATATTTTGCTTTATGGCATTAAAAGTAACTCATTTTCTTGGACTGTTGTTGCTAAGGTTTGGTTTATGTAACTGTTTTAAGAAGAAAGCAATCTGAAAAAATACACAACTAGCACAGCAGAGAACTCATTATTCTTTCAAATGCCTCTTTTAAAATCCTTTCAAACTTTTTATTCTGTTGATTCAACAGGAGAGCCATTTACAAGTAAAAAGAATAGCAAGGAAATGGTGCTTCAAAGCTCTGAAGAAAAGAACTGTTTTGTAACACTTCTTAACAATTCTGCACTACCAGACCTTGAATTCCCCCCAGCTTACACACATCTGGGGCTGTGAGTAAAGACAGATGTCTAGGTGTCCCTTGTGGTGCCCAGACAATCCTCAGTCCCTGTTTTGATGGGTGTACAGTGCCCTCTGGGTCTGTGGGTCTGATACTGCCAGAGGACAAGAATTGGCCCTGCATGGGTGCACAGTAGATCACATCAGGTTCATAACTGGTGTGCCCTGGAGTTCCTTTGCACACAGGTAAAGCCCAGCACAGCCCAGCTGCAAGGGATGTCCCTTCCTCATGCACATGACTCCCACAGAAAGCTCAGGGCTTTGTGGGGATTTCAGTGTGGCTGTGTGGTCACAGTGATCATCCAGCTGGCAGCCAGGATTTCTGCTCAGCTGGAAGATCAGCAAGAGCCACTGCTGCAGCTGGGTGCACAAACATTACCCAGATGGAGCTTCTGAGTGGAAAGTGATGATGTGACCAGGGAATTCAGACATAAGAGTGTCAGATGTGGGTAAGATTTATACACATGAACACGTGAGAAGAGGAGCTGATCATAGGAATCCTACTATTTTGGATCACCATTCCTGGGCATCCCAGTGAGGGATTAGTCAAACTGGAAGTAGGGAATTCCATCCCAGCTTTCTGGATGAGTTCTTTACCACCCCCCAACACAGCCAACTAGGGCACTTCTGGTTACAGGACCCCTCACAAGTCTTCTGTAACATATACAAAATAATTTCATCACTTTAAAAGAGATTGGCTCCATGATGAATATTTCTCAGCAGATACTCCCTACACAGAAAGTCATTATTTCATGGGCTCAAAGTGCATTATTGCTCAGGTTATGCTAAAATTTTGGAGGAAGAGAACTTTTCTGCTTTCTGAAACAGGCACTGCAGGTCACCTTTCCTAGAACAGTAGTTTTGCTGTGATGTAATCAGTCTCATAGTCTACTCTTGCTTTTGGTAAGAAAGAAATTGACTTTGCAGAAGAATAAGGAGAAAAAAACATAGTGATTTCTTTATTACTATGCTCCTGGTATTGGAATTTCACCCTATATTCTTAGACAGAATTACAAAATACTGCAAATATAGTAATTCCACAGAAATACTACAAAATTTACCAAAGAAATACATTTCATTTAGAAGACTGCTTTCTAGATACTTCTCTTATATGCAGCAAATACAGGCTTCAGATTGAATGAATTTCATTCTTTCATTTCTTTTCATTTTACTTTCTTTTCAGCAATCTCAATTTTATGTTTAATTTTCATCATCCGAGTGCCTAATGTCTGTGTGGCCATGACCTACTATTATTAAATCTGTGTATGGAAATGAATGTCAGTTATTAATATGGAAAAGAGCAATTTTAAGCAAACAAAACATTGTTGTGTTATCTTACACCAGGGTTGAGAACAATATGTAGGTAATTACTTTTAAACAGTAACACTTTAGTCATTTAGATTGTAACTTGGAAATAGGCAAAAAAACCTAGGCAATTTTATCACAATTCTTTGCCTTTCTCTAGGTAAAGGAATTATTTCCTTCAAAGTTGGCAAGTTTTGATACTTTCTTGTTTTCTGTGGTAAAGCTCTATTAAAATAGAGACGAATAGAAAGAAACTCTTGGCATGAAACTGGGTAAATTAAAGTTAAATTGCATAAATCTATATTAATAAGAACAGGACACAAAGAAGGATGGGGAAATTATAGCTCTTGTATTCAATCCTAGGCAGCTTTCACAAAGCAAAGCAAAGTTGCATCTGTTTTTTTCAGTATTCTTGCAAAAATAACCCTCCTGAAATATCTTATTCTGTTAGACATTCATGCTTGGAGCAACTTTTAAATGGATGTGTCATTGGCAGCCTAACTTCCTGTGTCTTGGCAATACGTAGACAGAGCTTAGAAAACCATTATTTTTAAACAGGGATTTTGAGACTTCAGCTCTGGCACTGATTTGATTCAATTCTTTTCATATTTTTATTGCTAAGTGCATTTCAGCTAGACAGATTTTATTAATAAATACAATTTTGATATTAAGTTACAGATGGTGTTTTAAAATCTCTAAGTGCCTGCAGCAGCGATAGCAAGAAAACCTTGTTCCAACGTATAAGGAATCAGGTACTGGTGATTGAGGACATGAATGGTGCCCATGTTTCTCCAACCACCTGAGTCATGTGGGCTGGGAGGCAGCTGGCTGGAATGATGGCATTTACTCAGAACCACATTTTTAAGTTAACTGACACACCTTCAAAAGCCCCCACAAGGATTAACTCACATTTAGAGATCAAAGATATAAAATAGAGCTCAGCTGAATTACACAGAGAAAATGCAACAGCCAGGTGCAGCCTGACTGAAATAAGTGTACTGGGCTTTCTGGTGAGATACTTAATGCCTGTTTTCTGGCAAAGGAACACAGCACAACAGGAGAAGATGGAGTATGGGCAGAGCAGCACATTCTCTGACAGCTAATGAGAGAAATGTACTTAATTCTGAGGCTGGAGAAGAATCTCTCTGATAATCAACATATCACAGTCAACATATTTTGCATTATTTTCCCATTTCTTCCACTCAGCAAATGCTTTTCTACTCAAACACAACAGAATGCAAAAGGGAAAACATTTCATGGATCAAAGGCCTATGATGGACACATCTCCTAAAGCATTAGCATTTGGGGCACGCTAGCACTGCAGAACCTTTTGTCACCATTTGTTTGCCCAGTAGGAAATGTGGGTGGGAATCTCCACTACAGTGACTGTATTATCTATACTTCTCAAGCCAGATAATTTATAAGAAACTTGGAATATTTCACATGGATTGATGTTGTGCCATCTAGACACAATCTTCAGCAACTCCAAACTTGCTATTTAAAGAGCCTGTGTACTTCTTGCCAAAATTATCTTTTCAGACATTCTTTTTAGAATGTTCACTGGCAATATGTACTGAAACATCTGAACAAATGTTTAATAAATTTTCAATTTTAAATTCTCAGTTAATATATGAGAGGCTTTCAGTTTGCACGGAAAATTATGCATATCTCCAAGTGAATAAGGGAAGCTGAACTAAATGCTGTACTCACCAGATTTGTAAGTGATACTTTCTCATTACTAACAAAAGAGTAACACAATTTGTGCACTTTTTGGAGTTGCCCATATTTTTGTAGTTGCCCTCCACTTGAACAACTTGCATGTTTGGAATGAGACAAAATGTGATACTGAGGGTGAAGCACCACAATATACAGCCTGCTTTCTTGGAATGGATCATGATCTACACAAACACTCAAAATTTGTGCATTCCATCAATACTACGATCCCAGTCCCTTTGATGCTGGACTGCTGGAGAAGGACTCTTCAGGGAGTGCATCTCATAACTCCTTAGACTATTGCAAACTTACCTACTTCTGAGCTCCCTTTCAGAAAATTGTATAAAGCCTGAACTTGCACATTAAATTCTGCTGGGAATGCTGCTATCAGAAGCATTTGGGCTGTGCCTATGCTGAAAAGAGCTGTCAGCCTGACTAAACAGAGAATCCAGTCTGTGATCCCTAAATTCAGCTACAGCATCTGGCCGGGATTAAAAAGGTCACAAAATTTGAATGAGAGGATGTTTTTGTGCATAGTTAGGATGAAAGTCAAGATGACACTTGAATGAATGGAATATGGACAAATTCTGCTGTGAAACAAAGGGATCAGCAGTTCCACGCTAGAAAGGTTCTCAAAAGAAATATTTTAGTTGCATATATGTTACATGTGTGTATTTTATATATACAGTTTTGGGGGATATATTTATCTATTCATTGGAATAAGTGCTAGTATCTAGAAACATCGAGATGTATGAGTCTAATAGTCCAGTGTTTTTAAAGTCTCCAGTCTGAAAGAAATCCAGTAAGATATCTAAATACCTCAGAAAATCTGGTTTCTAAACACTCAAAAATAAGTGTCAAAACTAGTAGAAACTCATTAAAAATTCATACTGTTGCACCATTCAGCCATCCACTAAAACAGCAGAAACATTCCTTAATCCAAAGGATTAATTCCAGGGTATCACAAGTTTAACATCACACTGTTACCACTTTCTCATGTATCCTTATCTGATGCATATTTACAAAGACCTTTCTGAAATTTAAAACAGTAGAACAAACATTTCTTATTAAGAACAAATCCATGGTACAAAATTATTTCCTTACTTTTGGGAGGGAAGCTCTCGATCCTGAGCTTTGGGTGGTCATTGTCAAAACTGTAGTGATACCCAGTGCAACTCTGGCTGGAGCAGCATCCATGTTGATCCAGAAAGAAACCCAGGATAAAATGACAATCAGCAGGCTAGGAATGTACATCTGGATTAAATAGTATCCCATCTGACGCTCCAAATGAAACTTGACTTCAATGCATGTAAACTTTCCTAGAACATGAAATTACTTTCATAAATGCTTTTTGCACATTTTTATCTTGTTTTCTGAACATAAGTTAGATGTGTGGCCTGTTTCCTAACCTAATACTGTAAGCAGATCCTGATACACAAACACTGATCAGTCACTTTTTTGCATACTAGCTTGGGGAGATCATGGGACCACTGAAGTATACTGCATCCAGTTCTTCATATTAACTGAGAAAATGAATAATTAGCACAATTTTTTCACCTCCAGAAAATATAACATAATGTTTCTTTTCTCAAAATTCAACCAGCTTTTACATTAGTAAAATATACTGCTAAGTATTAAAAGGGGACAGCATTTTGGTTTTTTACAGGCATGAGAATAAGCAATCATGTTTGAACAGACAAATTGTAAACTACTACTCTTACAGTCCTAGGGTAGATCATACTCCTTCTCATTCTGCCAATGTCATTTGCCTCTGTCTGTTGATTATGTCTCACAGTAGAATCAACTCAAAGTCTACTTTGAATTTTGCTAGAAGTCTGCCTCCAGGAAACCTAAACCAACCTCTTGTGGGAGGTGAGCGATTCTCCAAACAACCGAGAGCTGGGCACAACAGTCCTGGAGGACAGAGGTTTCGGATTGCCTGACAGTGGAACTACAGCTGTGCAGCAGGAGATGCAGAGTCCTGAGCTGCAACAGCTCATCAGCTGCTACTGCAATCACTCTGTGCTGCTCTCAGAATTACTCTGGGTTAGGTACTGTGAGGGCTCTTGCTCCAGGCAGACTAGAGGAAAGCCTCTCTTTCCTGAAGTGTCATGCTAGTGGTTTCAAAGGACCCCTTTTGTGTTGGTTCGAAAATGAACAAAGATGCATTTTTCCTTGTTCACCCTCTCAGGGGAAATTAGATCGTTTGCTCCTTTTTGTGATGTCCCTATAATTTTCTGGTGGTCTACAATGCTGAGTGGTGGGTCCAAGAGTTAGCACAGAGGGGAGTGCAGAGGCTGTTTGACAAAGAAAGGAGTGGAGACAGAATCATATCCTCTGACAGCCGAGAAGTTCTAAAATGAGTGAGCTGTGACTTGAAAGGCAGATGCTGAGACCTGGGCAGAAGCTGTTCCTGACCAGTCTGCCCATATAGAAGGGGACTGGGAAGGGGTGTGGTGGTCACCTGTGGCACAGTGGCATCAGTGGCACCTTCTGTCAGAGGCTCTCCAGACTTTTGTGGCACATCCTGGGCAGTGAGTTTAGGAAAAGGCTGAATAATGAGTTTTATCCACATTTTAATTTCATACCAAACCTGAAGGAGCAAACTACAGAGAAGAAAGTAGTGGGGATGCTAATCACAAAAGTTTTCCTTCCTTGGTATTTTGGGCTTCAAAATGAGAGCATTTATAAAAATTAAACCAAACAATTTTCATGAGAAGCAAATGTGACATTATTTTTTACAGAGGCAGAACCTCTCACATTGTATTATTTCATAGAGTGAAACAAATGTATTTGATGCAACCAGATCAGGTCTTATGCTGAAATGATGAAAAAGCTATTTTAGATGAGAAGGATTATATTTAATCCCAGAAAGCACCCAGAAAACTGTTCTCTAAATGCTGTCCCCATTAAATAAACTCCAAGCAGCTAAATCAAAATTTTAACAGTTTTCTCTTCTCTGTAAAACTAAAGCTAGAAAACACCGCACTATAAACTCCTAAACAGCAAATGGAAGAAAAAAACTTTAGAGTATTAAACAAAAAGTTGATTTCCCAACATGTCTGTACACTATTCAGATCAGCAATGAAAACATTGTCTTTTCACATGCTACATTTCATAAATTAGATAACACATAAAAGCTGGTGAAAAAATAATATTTTCCTCATTAGCAATTTGATATGCTGGAGAAATAAACTAGGTTCAGAAAAACCAGTACTTTAAAAGTGATGACTCAATATTTAATAAAAGAGTTAGTTTGTTAAAATGTTTAATTTTATGGATATCAGAAAAATTAGATTTTTAATCCATTTTTTAATATTTTAAGTACTTCAATTTTTAGGACATTAGAACACTAATGAAATTAAAGGAAATTTTGAAAATAAATCTTTCAAAAAAAAACAGAGAAATTTTCTTTCTATTCAAATTTAAAAATAAGTGTGACTGGATCAAATCTTAATTTCTTTTTTTTTTTTTACCTATATTTTTCCATTACGAATTGGCAATAGATACTATTGGAAAAATTGATAGAAAAAAAAATAGAATCATTCTCACCAGTGTTGTAATGTTTTGTGCAATAACCAAGTTCTTTATCTTCTTTCAAAATAAACTGTGGCAAGGTTAAACCCTCTGCAACTTGCACAGGTCCATCACTTAGCCACTCAAATATCAGGTCATTCATGGTGTAGCCAACTGCAATAAAGGAAGCAGAGTTTATTAGATGGCAACTGACCAGAAAAGAGCAAAGGTTCTTATGTCTGAGAAGCATGTCTTTGATTGCAATACATGTTATCTCAGTTACATTTTCAAACTGTTTGGTTAACGACAGCACGATTCCTCTTAGCTGTCGGTTGCTATAACTACACCATTACTCTATTAAAAGCAAGATGTAAACACTGTTATATTCTGAAGTAGTGCCCTGGTTTCCCACCAAAAACTAATTTAGCTGCCCCAAACCAGTCTAAGATTCTCCAGGCACAAAGACAGGTGGCAGCCCACAGTTCACAGCCATACAGCTAAATCCTTTCCTCCCTAAATAAAAAACCAAAAGAGGGTGGACTGGTACCTACCGAATATTGGGAAGGATCACAGGCACCTGCCACAGTCTGAGCCGCTGCTGGGTTTGCCTGGGCAGGTTGAGGCAGTGCTGTGGTGTGTGCTGGCAGTGACACAGCACGGAGGATGTGTGCTGGTTCCCCAGTCCTGGCCTGTGTTTAGCACACCAGCTTAGGTACCGCTGAAAGGACCTCTGCTTCATCTGGTGCTCTGCTTCCCTTTTCCAAAAGTGCGCCTAACTCAGTCAGACACAGTGAATCCCTGGCTATGTCATAATTGCCCTCACTTTCCTGAGATTTAGTAATTTCTCGCACACAGCGTTGCTGTATTTACCCCTGGAAGTGATGCAGCTCTGATGGGTAAGGTGATGTGACCCAGGAGGGAGAAAGATAAGCAGCACAGAAACAAACAATCCTCACTTTATGGTGATAAACATAATTCTCTTACGAAACACGAATAGTGAGCCTCGCCACACAAATGTGATAATGTAAATACAATCTAATCACTAAATGTTAGGGTAAAAACCTGTTATTTGACCAACAGAGCAATTGGGTACTCACAGCTCTCCAGTTGCATTGTACATGTCTGTACATCCATAGGAAAATTCTTCAAGTCCATGGGACAAGACAAGGTTAAAGTAAGCCTAAAATTAGAGGGGAAAAAAAAATATGTTAGACATCTACAGGTTGCATCTAGAGGCCCATACTTAGAGTTCAAAGGATCAAGACAAAATCTTAACATCTCAAAGGCTGGGCTCATCTCCTCTTTGAGCTTTTAAGCAGGTGAGAACTGTGGAGACAAAAAGTGTGAGCAAACTGGTCACTCCGTGGCTGAGCAGAGCAGAGGAAGAGAAGACAACATCAGGTTAGTAAGACATGCTCTCCACTAATGCACCAGTGAATGTTTTATGTACAATACTGAACCAAATAATCCAAAAGCTGAAATGCCTGGTCATGGGACACGTTTTTAAGTTTTATTTTGGAAAAGCCCAAAAAAAGGAAGCAACAAACATGGCGGTTATTTAAAAGAGTGCTTTTGTTCTGTTGGAACAATGAGTCCCATTTCCAAACCTTCATTCTTACTGCGTAGACACTAAGAGATGGAAAAAACCATTATACAGTAAAAGAATCACATTGCATTAAACAAACACAGATAGAAGAAAGTAAGCCTAAAGGAACATAATCATACAAAATATATTTATCTTTTAATTTTTCAGTTGTTATTGTCCCAGATAAAGCATAACTTTACTTAAATGGGAATACTTTTAATGTTTCTTTCTTTCTTCCTTTTTTTTTTAGTTGATTTAATCTTTTAACATTTGATAGAACTCTATTTCAAGACTGTCTCTTCAGTTTTATTTTTTTTCTTTTTTTGTGTGAGAAGAAACCATTTTTAGCTAACCAAGATATTGGGATGGTCTAATTACAAACAACTAGCTTTGATAAACAGTATAAATATTAGGATTTTGTTTTAAATAATATTTTAAAAGCACATTTTTATTTCTGATTACATTCAGCACAAAAAAACCCCAACACTCTGAACAAAGAATGCAAAAAAAAACAACCTTCTGTTGCCCATTTATTATGAAGGGCAGTAACAAGACTGATTTGAAGGGACACTGAAACACAGAATAATAACAATAATCTTTTAGTTATTTCAGTGAACCCACAGGACAGCTTCTTAGAAGTATAACCTTGAAACTATGTTGTCCCACAAATGTATGTGATCTCTGCAGAGAAATACTTGAATAAATTCTGTCTCCCACAATGATTTTGTGGTTCTTACCACATTCAGCTGATTCAAGGTCTTTTAGTCTATTTCTACACCATGTGAAGTTTTGGGGACTACCTGGCTGGGACATCTAGCCACATCACTGTGACAAAAAGATGATATTTAGGTAACTGAGATCAAAAAAATCTCACCCAAATGTAAGATCACATTCAAGATCATTGCTGTTGCCTACATATGGGCTACCTAGAAAAAGCCACACCATTTTCATCTTTACACAGTCTTCAGCAAACCAGGTGATAGTACCAGGAAATTAGAGATCACATTTATGTGGCTGTGAGATGAAGAAAAGTCCCCAGTACTCTTCTCAACATCACCATAGGAAGTAAACCCACATTTAACCTTTGGGACCAAATAGCAGAAATATTAAAAAAAATAAAATTGTCATCTAGAGAAGAAAAGTGTACCTAGTAGGCATGTGTCATTGAAAATCTGTCCTTTCCTGATTTAAATATTTTAAGTCCTTGCAAATGTTAACTAGTCTCATTTTTGCTAGGTAATTTCCTGCATTAAAGATTGAGCTAATTAAGTTGCTAATCCCCAGCATTAACAAAACAGTGCCTCTGTCTCTTTCCTGAAACATTACTATATCAAACTCCCTTTCTGTCAGTCATCTTCTAAATACAGCTTAGATGTTTTAAGTTCTTTCCAAACATGCCTTTATGCAAATGCAGCCTTTGTTAAAATGTCATTTATTTGCATTCATTGTAGTAGGCATGGGCTATTCTCCCCTTGGATTTTACTGACTGTCAGGTGTGGACTGAACACTGACTTTGTTTCCTTTCTCCTTCATCCCTTTCTACACCCCAAAAATTCAAGTCATCTGGGGGTCTGACTAGAAACATGGTCAGGAAGGTCCCTTGTTATTTTAATAACAAATTTATGAGGAAGCAAATACACCCAGCGACAGCTTTCAAGTTTCACGAGGAAAAATAATCTATCTCCATCAGTATAAGGTGGATAGATCATTTTTTTTCCCCTGGAGGTGAAATGAGAAAATTATGTAGGCTTCTTTTGTAGGTCCACACAAAGCCTAATGTCCTACTTTCTCTTCCTAACCATTGATGTCTTTCAAAAAGACTTTATTCTCTCATCACCCTGAAAAATGAAAAATAATTTCTATTCACTGTGTTGATGAGACTAGCTCAAGACGTCGTGTTTATAGTTAGCTGTAGTTCTACCTCTACCTGTTGTTCACCTCGGCACAGTAGTGATTCAGAATTAACATCTTTGCCTTAAATCCCATTTACCAGCAGTAATGCAAGAGGTTAGAGCTTTGTATCATCCACAGATCCACTGATTTTCAGCAAGATTACTACATACTAAATGTTCAGCAGCTGGAATTTGAAATAGATCCACTGAAGTCCATGGTGGTGGGTCAATTTATACCAGTTGACTCCTTTTCAGTAAAACTACGAGCTTGCGAATGTTTCCAAACCCTGGTGCCATGTCACTATCTATATATCTATGTTAATAGGAGATAGGGTCATAAATAGAAAATGTAAGGTAGATACAGATACCCACACTGCTGATAATAAGTATCATTGACAGAAAATATTTCAGCAAAAAGAATGTCTCACACTTGGCAAATTTAAGAAGGACCCCTGGAGTTTGGGAGCAAAGATCAAATTTAATGGGGAATTACACTGCTGAATACTTTAATCGTTAATAAAACAGAACAAACTGCTACAGAACAATTATTTTATTTTCCAGGCATCCCGCCACCAAGGCATTTGAAATGCATAAACAACAGTTTGGTAGTGGAGAACCATAAAACACTGATGGGAAGTGCTTTATGAACCATCTGTAAAACTGAAGTGAGAAGAAGCTGACCAGGGACTTGATTTTGCTTTCCATTGTGTGAGCACCCTCCACCCCAGGCCAGCCAGGCCCTGGTGGCACAGCTGGCTCACAGAAAGCTCTGGGGCTGAGCACGTTGTGTTTTCCAGCAGAGCAGAGAGGGCTCAAGAGGGAGCAGGAGAGAGTCACGTCTCCAGTGCCTCAGCACACCAGGCAAAGTGCCAGGGACAGCAAGCTGCCTCAAAGAAGAGGCAAAGCTGCTCTCTTCTTTCCTTCCCTGCTCCCTCACCCAACCCACAGCCAAGGAATAATCAAACCCTGGAATAATGCAAATAAGAGCATGAACAGAATAAGATACAGAACCAGAGCCAGAAAACAAAGAATGAACAATTAGCTGCCACTGTGACAAAAATAATAAATAAATAAATAATGTCACTGAGCAGCACTGTAGCACAGACAGGGCTGTAATCCAAGGACTCCAGGGCAGCATTCTCTGTATTATGTTTTGGACCCTCTTCCTGAGGATTCCCTTCTACACCAGGCAGGTCCTTCTGAGCAGCATCTGCTGGCACCTAAATGCCTTCAAAGTGCAGCAGGGATTTCTCCACTCAGGATTTCATTCAAACTCCCCTCTTTCATTCCTTGGCCTCACTATAAAGTGCTGAGATATCACTAAGACTTGGCTTGTGGGCTTTTCTCTCTTCCCAGCCACACTCAAAATGTTTAATTTCTGGTCACCCCAGGGGCCCACTTATAGCATCATTCAGAGGTCTGCATTCCCCAAATTCTGCAGGCAGGAAGGCAAGGTTCTCCGGGCTGTGGCCTCCGTGACAGAAATCAGAATAAGCTATCTCATGGGAAAAAACAAATAGCCTGACTGCTTAATCAGAAACCCTCATGCTGGTTATCTTTCACACCTGAACTTGTTTAGCAATGTCAGTGTTTTCTCCTGGTGTGAGCAGCCATGGCCCCAGATGGGCCAGCAGCAGAACTCAGCACAGGCACTGCTGCTGCCCTGAACACAGCTGCTGCATGCAGCATGCATCCGTCCTGAAAAGGCAGCGGAGGGGTGGCACACATGTGCAGCCAAGGGGGCTCAGAGGTATTTATGTGCAGCACAGCCAAGTTCTGGGCTCGGTACTGGCTGAGATAATGTGTTGCCTGGTCATGCTTCCACCACTCCTGCCTTTATCCTGTTCTTTCTTCAACCTGGAGACATTTTCCTCACATCCTGCTATGCCTGCCCATCTACCCTACATCTCTCCCAGCGACACCTACATGACACAGAGCCCAGACATTTTCCTTTGCCTTCTGGTCTGTCCTCACAGCCTTTCCCCCTCCTTCTCCCGTTTACCAATTCCTGTTAAAAGCCACTCCCACCTGTTTCAGGGTATTGACTCTTGAGGCCAGTCTGCCTTTGACAGCTGACCCCCAAAGCAGCACCATCAGTAGAGGGTAACAATCTAGAATTTAAAAAAAATAAAATCATTCAATAGAAATAAAATGTTTGCAAATAGATTGTTCTCAAGATGATTTCTGATCTCATTCTTTCACTTGAATGCTAGGGCTCCCCACCATCACACCACTTCTCTGGTAATCTCACAATGCACAAAAACACTTCAGAGTACCACACAGACAGGCTGCTTGTGAATGGACTGCAACACAGATCTGAAGTAATGAACTGCTAGTATTGTGTTGAGCACTTAGGGAATTGTGTTTACACATTACATAATCCAGGAATGTGGGTTTAAAATAAATTTAAGAGAATACGTAATTTTAACTGAGATTTGACATATTGCCTTGTCTGCAGCAACCACTGAACTGAATTCTAACCCACTCCTTTACAAGCAGCTGTCACTCCTTAGCCTGATGTCTTGCAAGACACCCAAAACTTCCCTCGATCTCAGTGACATCTCATCCCAGAGGAGGACACTGGTTCCACAAGAGAAGGGCCCTGGGGACCATAATACATGGCATATCATGACAGGGGAGTATTCTTTTCATTAGTTATTCTGCAAGAAAGGTTGGTTGTGAGTGGGCTACAGAACAGCCTCC